CATATATATATATATATATATATATATATATATATATATAATAGTGAAATAAATATTAAGTTGTTGATTTCATTTATTGCTTTCATACATATATATATATATATAATAATTATTATTATATATATTTATATATTAGGGCTGTCAGTCGATTAACATTTTTTATCTAATTAATTACATTATGTGTCGATTAATTAATCTAATTAATCACAAACTACATTTGGCTGTGAAAAACCCCCAAAAGAAAGAAATATTTTATTTGATTCAACATAAAATGTATTAGACGTTTAGGCTACAATGGCCTAACAAACTATTCAACATAAAAGAAGATAATTTGAGAAACATCAAACAGAGCAAAAACAGACAATATTGTGTTATATTGTATATAGCACAATAATATAATTACACAATGATATAGTATATAATATATAATACCCAATAATATAATCAGTGGTGGGCCGTCAGGGCCATCAGGGCCTTCTCTGCTGGCCCTATAAAAAATAAAATTGTGTGAAAAATGTTTTAGGTATCATTTTCATTTGTGTAATGTCCACAAAAGTGCCTATGGTTAGTTTTGTTGAGGTTAAACTGGAATATCCCACATAATATGGTAATTTGTATGTAGTCTGCTGGACAGAGAAAAACGTAAGCGAGAAAAAGATACCTTTCCACAGCAAAATTTTCTAAGAAAATGAGACACCACCTTTTTAGTATTAGAGGAAAATCAAACTGGCAAATAAGGAAAAGCAAATATTAATATATCATCAAATTGAATTAAGTCCCAATTATCTTTTTAAACAACAACTTACAGCTGTGAAATCCAAGGGCATCTCAAGGACCATGTACAGAGCATACGGAAAAATCTATTTAATACAGAGGTCAAGGAAAGCACTTTTGTTTATTCATTCTAATGAAAACGAAGTTATATATATATATATATAATAAAAATAGTCTGCGGCCAGCGCTACAGATAGTGCTACCCTTTTGTTGAAAGACGTCACATCTGATTTGTAACGAGCATGAGTGACAGAATCATCAGCCAATCAAATTTTAACGTTCAATGACAGCACGCCCTCTGGGTCTAGCGGCGTGCCCAGTGCTACCCCCAGTGTTATTTCCAAGGTATGAAAGTGAAATTCAACGAAAAGAAAATGACAGCCGCAGTCGCCGGCGCCTACACCAGATCTTGTTGCTGATCTACTAAAAAAGCCTTTTTCAAGGCGCTCTTTTGCAGACAAAAGAGAAATAACTGAGAAAGGAGACATACAAGAAGACCTACTACACCCAAACTGGATTCACTAACAAAGGCCAGCAAAAGTTTTGTGCGCCATTTCAAAGGGTGCAACTATGAGTGGCATGGAATGACAGATGCATGGACCTTATTTACTAGTGACCAGTGAGTGCTTCATTGTTTGACGAGTATTGTTATCATGCACATTGTTATGGAGGTGTATGTGGTGCATTGATAAAACTGTGGTGCGTGGATGTCCAGCATTTGTACAGTATTGCTGCTGTGGGCGCGTCATCATTTTAGAGTGACGTGAATGTGCATAGTAACCCGTGTATTGGCGGATTACTTTTACTGATCCATGTAGGGAATGCACATTGTTATGAAGGTGTACGTGGTGCTTTGATAATACTGTGGCGTGGTGTGCGGATGTCCAGCATTTGTGCAGTTTTGCTGCTGTGGGCGCGTCGTCATTTTAGAGTGACGTGAATGTGCATAGTGACCCGTGTATTGGCGGATTACTTTTACTGATCCATGTAGGGAAATTTACTCTGCATTTAACCCACCCTAATCTAGCCTACTGTTGAAATTGTTGGTCAGCTGTCATTGCTGTTGAGAGCCTGTGTCTGCCCATAATATGCACATTATATGCAAATGGCTGCGTTAGCTGTAACAGAGATGTGTAAGATGTGTGTATGTAGTTTACAGTTGCTTACTGAAGGCCCTGAGTGAAACCCCACGGTAAGCCACTGAATATAATTGTATATATAATTGTGTTATATTGTAAAATATAACACAATATTAACTTCTTATTTACTGAACTGTTGTGTAAAATCACATTTGGGACAAACAGCACTCGTGTGATTGCTCTCGCTGCGTGTGTGATATCGCTTATATAAATATGAGACCAAA